CTAGGTGTTGCACTTGGTTGGTTTTAAAACAGAAGACTAAGCTAAATAAACTACAAAACTTTCTTCCTTTATTCATGGGTAGGGCTCTACAATGCGTAATCAAGAAAGGAATTTGAGTCCTGTCCCATCCCATGGTTAGAAATCAACACAGGGCTCGCCTTTATCGCCATGGGAGCTCTCTTTCTAGCCCTAAAAATTATTATTATTAATAATAATAATAAAGAAATGATAATAATAACAGCAACAAGAACAGCAGCCAGCACTGACAGAGCATCTTGTGTGTTCACAATGGGTGAACCACCTGTGTCATGAGTGGTGAAAGGGAGCAAGCCTGGGCGTCTCTGAGAGCTCTTTCCTTTTCCCGGAACACTCAGGCTCCTCAGTTTGTTGTTGTTGTTTGTTTGTTTTGTTTTTAAGTATATTTTATTGATTTTTACAAAGAGGAAGGGAGAGGGATAGAGAGTTAGAAACATGGATGAGAGAGAAAGATCAATCAACTACCTCCTGCACATCCCAAGTGGGGGATGTACCCGCAACCAAGGAACATGCCCTTGACCAGAATCTAACCTGGGACCCTTCAGTCCAAAGGCCTAAGCTCTATCCACTGAGCCAAACTGGCTAGAGCGTGGGCTCCTAGTTTTGAAATGCAACTACCTAGAAAGCCTAGGCATAAGGCAGTCCACCTTTATTCCCCATCGGTGCCTCCTTCTATGCAAGCATTTCTTCTTTCTGAACTAAGCCAAGGTTTCAAAATCTGAGGACCAACTAAGCAGCATCTGGAGTGGGCTCTGGGGTGGGGCAAGACGTGGGAGGGCGGGGCTGTGGGCGGGGTGTGGAGGTGGTACCCTGCGGCCTGGGAGAGCAGTGGTCCTAAGTGAAGTGATCTCCTTGGTGACACGGGTAAGAAGAGCCCCTTTAGCAGTAAATGGGCTAAGGAGTGATATTTTTCTATGCATGTCATTTTGTACAGATGACAGACTTCTGTGCTGAACGAAAGCCTGTTAATAGCAGGGATTTTGCCGGTAGTGCACATATCCACCTGCCAAACAGATGTCGATCTGAGGAGACTGACCCGGCCTGAACATGGCCAGAGCAGGGCTGTGGAGGACAAGCTCAGGCGCATGGACAAACCAGATGTACACAGAGTTCTACTTCAAAATGGTCACACAGAAATAAAGAAATCTGGGCTCTCAAAGACTCTGCAGAGGAAGAGAGAGAGCATCATTTTCCTGAAGACTGAAAAAGAGAATAGATCTCACAAAATGATATGCTACAAGAAGAAAATTTTAGAAAAAGGTTTGCATCCTTAGTAGGAAACAAGATGATCTTACCTCTACGAAACCTGAGAGCTGCAGTCAGAACTGATTGAGATAGAAGGCAACAGAGTGAGACAGAAAGATAAGTAGACGGAAGAGGGGGCTGCAAGTAAACACCCTCTCCCCCGCCAAAAAAGATGATAGAAATAAAAATATGGGGGATAAACTTCAGAAATTCTCCCAGAATGCAAAGGTAAAGGTCAAGAGAGAAAACTGTAAGGCAGTTTTGCAATGCAAACACTTGAGATTGGATTAGAGTTAATGCCTATGAGAATGTATTTGTCTGTTTAAACAATCATTATGAATTTGTTAGATCCTTCTCAGAGATAGAGGAAATATAAAATCCGTTGTTTTCTCCTGGTTGTAATTTCCCAAAGTCCTCCTCTGTACCCTTTTTTTCTTGCGCCTCCAAATGAAATGCAGCAGAATAATAAAGGCAGAAGAAAGACCACCAAGAAGTACCCTGAGCATAGAACGCAAATTTTCAAACTGACTTTATTCCCAAGGCCTAGGTCTGTCCTTGGAAACTGACTTTATTCCCAAGGCCTAGGTCTGTCCTTGGAAGGCCAACCAATATATTTACATATATTGAGGATAATGTGATGTTTAACCTTTGGAATGCATGCTAGTTTGAAAATGGATTACCAAAACCCAAAATACGCTTCCTAATCTCACCTCTTGTTCAGCAGAGCAGTAGTGAGAAAAATATTCGGGAAATCCTTCTCTGGCAATCTTGAGAAGCACCCACAGTGGGAGGCAGGGTAGACAACAACTCCAGATTGGACTCAGTTTCATACTTGTGAATACAAAGGCTACGATACTGACTAAGGCAGGATGACTTCCCTGAACTGTCTCCAAGGCCACAGCATCTCCTCAGTGACTTATTTTCCCATAACATACAGAAGAAGAGGCTCCCTGCCCACCAAGTCATCCCCCCACAGGTCTGTCCGCCCCGGTAAGTAGGCCGGGGCAGAATCTGGTGAGGTAATATTGATAAACAATCCTCCACCGCAGACTATATGCATCTCTACAGTGTTTCACTCCCTGGGAGCAGAGGCCTCTCTCCCCTCCCCTCCCTTTTATGGGCCAGACAGAGCAGAACAGACCCTCAGTGCACGCTCTGACACAGTGCAGGAGCTGTAAATCTGAGTTTCTCATGTGTTATGAAACAATGTTGGAATTGTTTGAATTGGATGATGAAGAGAAGAAACATTCCTTCCTCCTTTTTCTTGGGGTAGAGGTTCATTTAGCCTGCCTCCTCTGACGAAAATCAGGAATTCTCCCCTGGCTGCATCTGTAACAGGGCTCCTTATCACTTTTGCCAAGCTCTTTATAAAAATGGAAATAAGGCACTTAATAGTCCAGATATTATAAAAAATAAGTCCCAATACTATGTTATGAGTCATGCACACCCAACAAGGCATGCACACTCCAGATGTAATACGTAAGCTTCCACATAATGATAACGTAAATGGGGAGAAATAGCCTTTAAGAACTAGACTACTAACCACTTTGACTATATTCAAAATGATTTTCTTTTTTGTACAAATAGTTTAATCTTGAGTAATATTACTAGAGAATAACATAAAAATATTATATCTTTATTTGGAGAATAAAGCAAAACTACAGTTTTCAAACAGAAAATTATTTGATAGTCCTGGCCAGTGCGGCTCAGTTGGTTGGAGCACTGTCCCACTGCACCAGAAGGTTGCCAGTTTGATTCCCGATCAGGGCCTATACCTAGGTTATGGGTTTGATCCCTGGTCGGGGCACACACGGGAGGCAACCAATTGATGTTTCTCTCTCACATGCAAGTTCCACTCTCTCTTTCTTTCTCTTTTCCTTCCTCTCACTCTTTCTCCCTTTCTAAAATCACTTTTTTTAAAAGAACATTATTTGATAGAAAACTTATCTAGGAATACATTTTAATAGTAAGATTAATAAGGAAACTGAATATTATTTAGATTTGCATGCTTGTGAAGAGGAAAAATGTGATTTTCATATGAACTTTTAGTTTTTAATAATTTAACCAAGAAGCAGGTAAAAGGCTTAATAAAATTTTACTTTTTCTCTTTCAAAAAATATTTGCTTTCCCTGGTTACAAAAATGTACTGCAAATTTTCTTAATAAGAAATAATCTAAATTACATTCTCATGGGTAGTAGAAAGCAAAGGAATAAACCTTAGTGCATATAATTTCTGGCTGGTTTTAGCTGTTATGACCTCCTGACATATGAAATATACTGAGTATTTCAAAAGTGCAGAAAATAAACAGAAAAAGGAGCGAACTTTCTATAAACTTGTTGATAAAATAGAGAAAAATAAAACCATCACTTCATGCTTTTCTAACTTTGCAAATCCTTTTCAGGAGCTGTTTAGCGAGTTGGAATGAAACAATTTCTATTGAATGAAGATGACTCTACCTATTGAGATTTAAAAGGTAAAAAGCCGGAAAAGGGAGGCCCCTTTGAAGGACAGCACTTTCACACGACCTTCCCTGGGAGAAGCGGGCCAGTGCTGCCGGTGCACACAATGGTGCATCGCTCCCTGAAAGGAGAAACTCACGGCTTCCAGAAAACCCATCTCAAAGTGAGGAGGTTTGGTTCTACTAGCATTTCCACAGAATCACTCCAAATAGAAATAGTTCTTTCTCCCCTCCTTTTGTTTAGGAACTTGAATGACTGGTTAATCCAGGCCATCACTGTCCTCCTTTCACAGTGCACTCCTATTTTGAAAAGATTTCCTCATGTGGAATCTAAAGAACAATATAAACAAACAAAATGGAAACAGACTCAGATACAGAGAACAGATTGATGGTTGCAGAGGGGAGGAGAGTTGGGGCTGCGTGAAAAAGGTGGAAGGACGGAGAAGCACAGATCGGCAGTTACAAAACAGTCACTGGGATGTGTAGCACAGCAGAGTGAATATAGTCAATAATATTGTATTGATTATGTTTGGTGCCAGGTGGGCACTGGAAATATCTGGGGGATCACTTTGTAAAATATATAATATTATCTAACCACTATGCTATACACCTGAAACTAAAGCAAAATAAACTATAACTGAAAAATAAAACAGAATAAAAAAATTTGTTTCCACTGCAGCATTTGGATTCCCCTTCTTAATATGCCATGTTCACAATAGAACATTTAAGATTCACCAATTCCTATGGGAAAAATACCCTAAATAATTTAGTTCTTTTTCTAAAGGTTCAATTTCCAGGAGCATTTTACTTTATTGTTAGTTCTCACATGAGGATATTTTCCCCCCCACTGCTTTTCAGAAAGAGTGAAGAGAGGGAGGGAGGGAGAGGAAGAAAGAGAGAAAAATCGTTCTTTCTCCCCTACCAGTTGATGTGAGGGAGACACATCCACTGGTAGCCTCCTGCCTGCATCACAATCAAGAGCGAGGAGCGAACCTGTAAGTCAGGTATGTGCCCTTGACTGGGAATCAAACCTGTGACCTTTCGGTGTGTGGGCCAACCCTCTAATCAATGAGCAACATAAGCCAGGGCAAGCATTTTATTTTTTAATGATTTCCATTTATATTCTTGAGTTAAATTTTAGTTAAAACTAAATTTGCCAATATGCCAGTAGGAACCCTTTGCTACCCCATTATTTGTTTCAAGGAAGAATTCACAATTTAAAAGCAAGAGAAAAAGAAAACCCAGTGTTGTGGAAATTACCTCATCTGCTCCTTTCTTTTCTCCTGACCTGGAAGGCGATCCACTGTCTTTTTCATAGACATGCTATAAAGAAAAAAAAAGGTAATGTTTAATAGAGGGAGGTGATACAAGATAATAGTGTCTTTAATCCCAAAGGGCTAAATATATAGACTGTCAAGAACAAGGACCCCTTTAATCTTCCTTCTGGGAATGTTGATAATTCTATCCCTACTGATGAGGGTGGCTTTCAAAACTCAAGGGAAACTACAAACATGCATTTGGGATGTAGAAAGTCAGTCTGTAATTAACCAGACACAGATCTGATGGTGATGCTAAGGTGGCATCTCATCTCCTACCAAATGCCAAATTGTCAGTGTGGGAGACGTCTGGTTCCTGAGGGAGATGAGATGTCTGAGGGTCATGCTGAGGATAAAGCCTCCATCAGCGAGGACAAGAGGGAGGACCAGATCTTCCCAGTCAGCCATCACTTCGGTGGCTCTTGGAATTCCCTACGGCTCTTCTATGTATTCACCAGTTCAGAGAGATAAACCCTGAAGTGGCAAGACTACCCCTGTAACTTCCACTCACTATGGCTTTAAAAGTTCGTAATATCCAGAAACAGAATTATTTTTCGCACTAGAATATTGGGGATGAATGCAAGTATTTGTATGTGGTACATAAAAGCTTCGAGTAGCTTACCGGCTCGTTGGTTTTGATGTTACAGTAAAATAAGCTATACAGTTTATTGATTTGTTTAAAAACTGGAAATTGCATATTCCTGACAAGAGAGTATAAAGAATTATTTCATTTTTTAGCACATTGTGGGATGTTCAAAGAAGTGGGAAAAGGAAGCCTAAATATTTTTTTTTTTTAAAAAGCTCATCATTGGGTTCAATCACAATTATCTTCAGTTCAACCAAACTATAAAATTCCATTACATTCTCCAGAGCAGAATCATAATATGGTATGCAGGTAATTTAAATTAGTCAGATTAAGAAGAGTTGAAATAGCAATAATAATTATATCATCCTGTATTACTTACAAGGCACTTTCAGATATATTCTTATTTGAAAATAAAAGTGGCTCCTATGCTTTTGTGGATTAAATACTAAGAATGGGAGTCAATTGCTATGTTTTTCACAAGGACAGACACCTAACAAATGGGAAAAATTTACAAAGCAAGTCTCCTGACTTAAAATATGTTGTCATTATACAAACAACAAGATAGAATATTGCTCCCTTTAATCATATCAACAGATATTTTAGTAAAATTAAAAAGAAAAGGCCAAGGAATGCCTAACACATGGTCATTTTTGTATGAAAGACTATGAAAAAATCACTTTCATGAGTGGAAAGTTCTTTCCCGTATGACAAGCTCTGAGGAACTGGTGAGTGGAATCCACAGAAAAGCAGGCGGCTGCTGCACTGGCCTGTGAGTGAAGCCCTCTGCCCAAGGCTCGTTTTACCTACATGGCCTAGCCCAGGATCTGTTTGTCCACAGTTGAGAGCAATCAGTATTGAGCAGTTCATAAATCTTGGGGGGAGAGGAGGAATGCCATTTAAAAACCCATATACACCAGAGCAAGGTGGGACTTGGTAAGTTTGATAATATTTGGTGAGCAAACAATTCCTAAAGGCCAGACTAGGGGGAAGAACTTTCGGCACTTGGAGACAGAATTTGAGAGGGACAGATCGTCAGTGATAGAGGTTTACTCAGTCTGTCTCCTCCCAGAACCGGTCATTTAGAGCCATGATACCAGTCATTTATGATCTCCAATTCCATATCTTTGTCAGATTAGATATAGGTAATAACACAACAGTATCCACTGTTTTACTGAACACTCTGTCTAGGATGTCTCATTTTCTTGCCAGGAGTATTATTATTCCATTTTACAAATAAAGAGGCAGTTTGTCAGTACAAGGTTCCATGTACTCCACAAGGTCTCAATCTGCTTTCTACTCACATAGCAAATATAGGTTATGACTTATTACTCCATAGTAAATGTACAGTTTTTTCTCTCTATTGGTATTCAGATATTTTTCTTCAGAAATTTTTTAAAAGTTGTTTCCTAATGGTATTTCAAGTTGCAGTTCTCCAGATTAAGCAACAATATCAGTTACATGTTTTCATTGAAATGCTCAAAATTATTCAAAATAATGATAGTTCTAAATAATAGTTTGAAATATATATATATATATATATATATAATATTTTTTAATTGTTTAAGTTATAATGACAACTTATAAAACATGGATTTTAAGAATTGGTATTTTGTCATTTCAAAAGAAATATTTGCTCTCAAATAGGAAGCTTTTTTATAATATTCAAAAGCATAATGACAAAAGTCACATAAACAAGTGACAAAATTTTTAGGAACTGTATGTATTTTTCCATTTTCTACTTTTTTAACCTGGCTTTTTGTTATAAAACTAGAGGCCCAGTGCATAGATTCATGCACATTGAAAGGAAATTAGAAGAAATATTTTTATATCACTATTTGCCTTTTCTCTATAATGTAAGTATCAACCAAATTCACCATCAACAATGACAGATCGAAACACACGTGTGCGATTGACACCAGCGAGAGCTTTATATGTATCGTGCATGCATGAGTCAACTTAGCCTTGTATATATAGAGAATAAACTTGCTTAATTAGACCTGCTTTCTGATTTAGCTAAACTTTTTCCAGCCCAGTGAAGCACCTCAACATCTCTTTCAGGTAATTGTCAGCAACACAGCAATAAATACCAACACGAAGCAGATTATTATTGTAGATCACACAGGGAGAACAAAGGGTAAATAATTTAACTGCAGCAGTGTTTGACTATATTCTGCACAGTGAGAAAACCTGAAGTTATTTTCAAGGTACACCATTTCTTATTTCTTTTCAGTTGGGTCAAGTTTCTAAACTTTCTAAATCTCCATTTTTTAGCTATTGAAAAGAAAACAGGATTCTACCGAGTGTCCCAGCTACCTACTCCAGGACTTCTGTGAAGATCAAATGAGATGAGGCTCAGGAAAATCCTTAACAGACATTCGGTTTAACTGTAAAATGTTTGCACCTGGCTATAAAGCAAGTCGCATTCCTGGGCTGAAAAAACTCCAAGGAGGCTAGTTGCTAGGGAGAGGAAGCCGGTCATTGCTATGTGATGTCATTTCCCAGTGCCCAAGGCAATCGTTTTCAGGATGGGCTGGGCTGTGGGCCCCATTTTGCACCACGGAGTCTCAGCAGCATTGGCTGCAATTTGATGGGGTGTTGCTCTGGGATGGTGGGGGCCTGTGCCCCACTTGGGGAAAGCTGAATGTTATTTTGTCAGTGCCAGGTCTGTAGTGACATTTCTTTGTAAATGGCCAGTGTGCATCACATCAGCTCCTGTATTAAGCATATGCCCCCTGGTGGTCAGTGCGTGTTATAGTGACCGGTCAGACTGTTGGAAGGAACTAACATATTAGCCTTTGTCATATATTATAGACAGATACACAAATCTATTTATCTATGTTTGTATATGTACCTATATTTGAAAGTAAATTGGAAATATCCTGAAATGTTACCCCTAAATATTTTACCATGTATCTCCTTAAATTGAGGACTTTTCCCATATAACTCCATCATCATCACTTTAAGAGAATTTGTAAGTATTATTAATTTCCAGTACATAGCAACTTTCTGAATGAACCACTGCCCTGACCCTTTTGTGGGGCATATTCAACACTCAGAATTCAATTAATGACGTAAAATCAATTATATCTTTTTACTGAGGAATGTCAAAGTGCCTAACGTTTTAATTCAAGGAATAATTGAGCACTTTTGATATAGTTGAGAGGATGAAATGAAATATTTGGGAAATATGTCGAATTTTATTCAGTTTAAGAATCTGCAGGAAGACTTTCTAAGAACAAAGAGAGAAAACTTTGCTGCTAGGTGAGGCTGTGAGATGGGGAGAGGTGATAAGCATGAGAAGGGAAGGAGAGAGAAATCAGGGAAGAGAATCAAACCACAATCCCGATAAATCCAAGCAGTTTTTCATGAGAAAAAATTAACACGTGCTAAGAATCTACTAAAAAGAACAAAGTATCTGTTGATTCCTAGGTATCTCATTAATTTTTTTTTTGCTGTAATGGTAAATGGGATTTTTTTTTCTTAGTTTCTCTTTCTGTGAGCTCATTATTGATGTATAAAAAAATGCCAAAGATTTCTGAGTGCTAATTTTGTATCATGCTACATTGCCAAATTTTTTTATAAGTCCAGTAGTCTTTTTATGGGGTCATTAGGGTTTTCTATGTACATTATCATGTAATCTACACATAATAACCATTTTATTTCTTCTTTTCAAATTTTATTTCTTCTTCTTGTCTGATTGCTATGGCTAGCACTTCCAATACTATGTAGAACAGGAACAGTGAAAGTGGGCATGCCTGTCTTGCTCCTTTTCTTAGGGGAAATGGTTTTTGCATTTGCCTTTTGAGTATTATGTAGGCTATAGGTTTGTCTTAAAGGCTTTTATTATGTTAAGGTATGGTTCCTTTATTCTCACTTTGCTAAGAGTTTTTATTAAAAAAGGGTGTTGAATTTTGTCAAATGCTTTTTCTGCATCAATTGATATAATTATGTGATTTTTGTCTCTAAATTTGTTTATGTGAAGTATCACATTTACTGATTTGCAGATATTATACCATCCTTGCATCCCCAGAAGAAATCCCACTTGGTCAGAGTATGTGAGCTTTTTAATGTTAAGGAGGTAAAAGACCCGTAGGCAGAAAACTACAGAACATTGAAAAAAGAGAAAGAGGAAGATATAAACAAGTAGAAGAATATATCGTGCTCATGGATTGGTAGAATGAACATCATTAAAATGTATATACTACCTAAAGCAATCTATAGATTCAATGAAATCCCATTAAAATACCAAGGGCATATTTCACAGAGTTAGAACAAACTCTTCAAAAATTTATATGGAATAAATAAAGACCCGGAATAGCCATAGCAATTCTGAGAAAGAAGAACAAAGTTGAAGGGGTTATAATACCAGACATTAAGCTATATTATATTACAAAGCTACTGTTCTCAAAACTGCCTGGTAC